CAGGATAGAGAAATCAAAATGTAGGGTATAAATCTCAGTGCTGTCATTTGAATACCAGTGTTAGAAGGTCCTTCTCACCAGTGATACATGTCTATTGAGGCCTCCACTTGTCTTGAAGGTCTTATTGCAGTAGCCACACGATAGCCCAGCCCATGTGGTTCTGGCCTCTGGCTGAACGGCCTCCGAGCTCTGAGTCACCTCGGTGAAGCTCTGCAGCAGGTCATACTGGGCCTGGGAGGTGCCCAAATTCTGAGGACAAACCAAAGGGAAGTTACACATGAAACAAATCTTCAGATCCTAAGCACTTTATAGAGGGATTATGTATTATTTAGATTCATTCAAATTAGATTATGTAGACAGATAAGTGTTTTTCTAATTACCTTCAAGAGTATGCTCATTCTATTCCATATCACATTAAACAGGATATGTTTTATTTAGTTTAATTTATTTCAAATATGTTTTTAATCGATAGTATAGTAGTTTGTATCATTATCAAGGTTTAGTCTATTTTATTTTAATAAATATTCATTTCTAAGTGTCATTAGAAATGTTCTAATATTAACTGTTCTTTTTTCGACAAGTGTTTATCACAGATTTATGATAGCCGCATTAAGCAGGAATCTGGCTAGCAAGCTAAAGAAGGAGATCCCATTTATACCCCTACCTACTTTCTTCTAATTGGTCAATTGTTATTTAACCAGGTAAGACAGCCCTCAATGACAATAAAACCAGACCTGTTTGAATTGCTAATCAAATTGCTAAATCCTCTTATAAAGTAGTTCTATCAATCTCTTCTTACAGTAATCCGTTTAATACTTACTGTATCTGCTGCCCCCGTCAGTCCAAGAAGCACCTCTGTAGTGTGTCCATTTTCAGCCGCTGTGGTCGTCTCCACCACCTCCTCAAAATCAGCCAGCAGGTGACCAGCTCCCACCAGCCCATCCCCAACCTCCATCCCTGCTCCAGACCCTGCCTCTCCACCAGCACCGCTTCCCTCTGGAGCCATATGGTTGACCTGGTGTTCCTCTAGATCTGTCCGCGTGCCAAAGTTGTGGCTGCAGCTGCCGCAGCTGTACAGCAGCAAACTGGCACCGGTGTCTGTGCTCAGGTGAACCTCCGTCCCGATGGCCCTAGATGTGTACATGCCTTCCCCGGAGGAGGTGAGAGTGAGCTGGGGAAGAAGGCTTGAATTCTGTCCGGACGGGGTGGTCGACAGAAACACTTCTTCCATCCCCACCCCAACTCCATCAGTTCCCTCCTGGCTCACAAATCCCACCATGTCCGTCAACATGGACGATGTCACTTCCTCTGATCCTACCAAAATCTCCACTATCTCACTTCCCTTCTTGGCAGCACCTCCACTCTTTCCCTCCTTTCCTCCTGGGTTCGAGTGCGAGTTCTTGTGAAGGGCGAGATTTGACGAATGCGTGAAGCTTCGTCCACACTCCCCGCAGATGTAGGGCCTCTCACCTGTATGGATCCTCATGTGCTGCCTTAGGTTGGTAGATTGAGTGAAGGATTTGTTACACACTGTGCAGGTGTAAGGCTTGAGACCAAGGTGGACGTTCTTGTGTCGCCGCAGACTGCTCGAGTTTTTGAAGGCCTTGGGGCAGGTGTCACACGGGTATGGACACTCTCCAGTATGCTGGCGCAGATGATACTGGTAATGAGAGCTCCATTTGAAAGTCAGTGGGCAATAAGGACACAAGAAGGTACGTACTCCAGTGTGGACACTCTGATGGACCTGGAGACAGAAAGAGATGTGAATGCATCTGTAAGTGATTCTTTTTCCCTGAGGAAATCATTGTTTATAAAAATGCCTTTATTTGACATCTCACCTGGAGCAGAGAGGAGCGTTTGAAGGCTTTTCCACACTCCTGACATTTGTAAGGCTTCTCCCCTGAGTGAGACCTGAACAATTGAAATATTTAAGAAGATAACCCAATCAATTACAACAATCAACAGATGTGACACATAATACATAGAAAATATATGCAACACTTTATTTATGGTTTGTCATATACACTGACATAGTCTTGCACCATGTATAGCTGTTAATGGATTACACTACTTTGAGTTTTCCTCAATTTGGACACTTGTGCCTCTCTCCTATTCACTTCAATAAGGATGGGACTTCACAACTGTACAGTAACAGTGTAACCATTGTAAAGGTGGTAAAATAGTTCCATTATGGTTACCGTTGGTGGTAGAGCAGAGCAGAGGAGCCCTTGAAGGCCTTGGGGCAGAGGTTGCAGCGGTATGGTCTCTCATTGTTGTGACTCCTTTGGTGATGGGTGAGCCTGGAAGACCACCTGAAGCTCTTCCCACAATCCATACACAGGAAGGGATGGTCCGTCTGCTCGGGCTGCTGAGGTGGGTCCGGCATAGAGGACGCAACCATGTCCAGAACCACCTCTACCTCACGTTCTACTACTCCCTTGTCTCCCTCCACCATCTCTTCTCTGTCCCTATTGTCCTCACCATCCTCTCCAGAGCCAAGAAGGGATGAAGGGAAAGGAGAAAGGGAGGCAGCGGACTGAGATGGTAAGAGTTCTGCTTGGACCACCAAGGCCACAGTGTTAGCCATTTCCAGAGTAATCTGGCAGCAGATGAGGGGTGTTTCTTGGCAGCAGGTGTGGATCAGTTTTGGGGCAGTATCATAGCTTTTCTTTCAGCTTTCCTTCATTGATGGTTTATTTCCATTGTTGTTCTCCCTGTCAGCCACATCAGCTGTCCAAAGTTGAAGCTCAGGATGAGTCTGACAAAGCGTGAAATGGAAATAAATACAGTATAATTAGTTGATAATTCCTGGTGAGAATGTTCCCTTTAAATCCCCCCACCTTCCCTCCAGTCTCTGAACCTGCACCCCCTCCCTCCCTCCCTGCTGTCTTTCCTCTGGCAATCAGTCCGATTCTGTCCGACCCCGCAGTGCGGTGCTTGCTAGCAAAACACACAGAAGCTACAGCTAGGTTACACATGAAGCTAATCCATAACTATATTCAAATGTAATCAAACCAACAAAAACGACGCACAGAACATATCAGTGTTAACAGTATCAACAAATACAACTACTGGCCTTCATTTAAAGCTAAACTAGCCTCCATCAATGCGTAATATCGTGGTTAAACCGCTCGATAAAGATGTGCATAAATACAGGCTGAAGCAGTACTCACCGGGCATCTTTAACTCATCTTTAGCGTTATTGTTGATATTATAATAATGGAAAAAGGTACTGCAGTGCTAATCCACACAACCTTAACAATAAACACAGCGCATACTAACAGCAGTTCTCCACCCGATGCCGCCTCCTAAGAACAGCGAAGGTGATTGGCTGTTAGTATACATTAGATGCGCTACTACTATTGGTTAAGAGCTTCAACAGACAGATTGACGGCTTAAAAATATATTTTTTAACTTTAAATTGAGAGTAAATAACCTATCGATGTTGTGCCTAGACTACTACATCTCAAACATTCATTTGTTAATCTTTTTTCACAAACAATATGTTTGCGTTTTTTCTGACATTAGCGCACAGACTTCTGGGTAACGTAGTATCTGCATGTCTGCCCATCTCCCATAATTGACACTAGATGCTATGGTAGTTCGTTCACGGTTTTCAAAAAATATACTCAAATTCATTGTGCACATTCTTTAGTATTTATTTCACCAAGGCACATATTTCACATTGAGGCCAATCAGTGTGTGGAAGAGGCATCTTGATGTTATGACAATAATTTAAACATGATGGTATAATAATAGTAAATAAGAATACAAACTGTATAAAAGTACAAAAATAGTGGAGACTTGCTCCACTGCAGCACAAATAAATAGTTCCACCAAATTACTTAAATAAATAGTCAATACTGTAACAAATACTAGAATAGGAATGAACAAACATTATAGTGATAAAGTTGGTAAAGTAATCTACATTATAATTTTAGAAAAACAACAAAATACACAAAAGCGTTGTATACAACAATTTACATTCTTGTACACGTATGTACACCTGTACAAAACATAGTGTCACAATACATAGTATTTTAAGGCTTTGGGTGTATAACTAACAAAAACAAACTTTTCTTCCCCAAAGCACAGGTTCAAAATCAGCCATCTGACTCATCCAAGAGGTTAATCCTGACAAGTTTGTGCAAAGGATCTAATCAGGTCCATCAGTGCTCAACAACAGGGCACATTCATACAACTCAACCACAACCCCATGTGCCTCCCTATGCAGAATGCGAGAAACAAACAATAACAATAGAGAGTAAAACAGAAATTATTCACTTATCTTCGATACCATTTTACATTTTTATAAAAATACAATTAATTTCAATGTATACGTTAAGACATGGCACGCTTAACATTGTTACTATAAGGGCACTGTAAGTACTGTAAGATCATTGAAAACCTTGGCTTTCCCATATGAATGCTACATCTACTGGAAGAATCATTGGCTAAAGAAATACACAAATGCAAAGTAGATTAATTTAAATAAAAGTCAGGAAGTGCTACTGTGTTTTTTTTTGAGGATCAGTGAGACACAAGACAATAAAGAAAGATTACAGAGATGTGGGCAAACAAATTCACGTTAATACAGAAATAAGGATAAGAGTGACACATTACAACTTTTAATAAATAAAATTAAATAAATTACTAACAGTTAATAAATAAATAAATACATAAATAACAAGTTCATTTACAAGGCCTTTAGGAGAGAGTTTGGGGAATCATGACATTGTAGTTAAACTGGCACTTTTTATAACAGAAATCTTGAAGGTGTTGGCAGCTTGCCGCAGTATAGCTTATCCTTATTGGCTCTGATGGTGAAACATTCTTCAACACACATGTCGTAGTTTGAAGTTTGGGCCTTTTAAGGGATGCTAAAGACTACAGTGCATACTGACATGGTCCTAATTCCTCCTTGGCTGAGGCGGAACTCCATGTGTCCTCACTGTCGCTGCAGCAGTGTAGTTGAGAGGAAATAAATGGAGCTTTGAGCGTCATTGTACTGCAGTGACTTTGGGCTTGAGGATAAGGAATGCTCTGTATGCCCAATCACAGAAGAGCTTGAAATGTTGAAGAAGCTCATGGGTGGACTGCAGGACATCAAACTGAAAGGGGAGGTGAGGGGGGAGGGAGGGGGTCGCCTGAGTCAGCCTTGGTGCTTCAACTCTCAGCATCTGGAGGAGAGACAAAGGGAACAAGGATTAGGAAACAATTTAATTTAGTACATTTAGGTATTAGAATAGAAGTCCCAGCTAGTTGAATATGATTGAAACATTCTAGAGAACTGAGAAGTATAGGGGGAACTGGCTTTACCTGACGGTGAAGCAGATTACTGAGAGATTTCATTTCTCTGATCATCTCCACCAGCTTGGGCAGCGCAGGGTGGTGGTGCTTCTTTGAAACCCTGTTGAGCCACTCAAAGTGATGCTCGTACAGCTTCAGGTCAGCGTGCAGCTGAGACAGTGTGGGCTTCAGCTGTAAACAACACAGACATACTTAGAGACAACGCATGGGTGTGGCAAGATTTAACAATGATAGAAACCAAACAGCCTCTCACTTCATGCACACACACACATAAATTATCAGAGCATTACCTCAAGGTTGGTGAGGTCATTGGCTGATCTGTTGCTCATTTCTGGCAGAGACCTGAACCTGTGGGGCTCCACGTCTGAGTCAAATGCATGCTCCCTCTGAAAGAGAAAACCAGACACAGAGTAACCCGTTAGTAATTTGCATCCGAGCAATTTTACTCATCCTGACACAAGTCACGGCACCATGAGGAAATAATTAGTCTAGCACCTCCATCGGATGACTGTTTTCTGTGCTTAGAGACAGTAGCTCCCACTGAGGGGAGTGTGGTTGATCGGGTCACTGTGAGTTCACCCACATTCGGCCTCCCCAAATGTCAACAATAAGAGCAAATGCCCTGAACCCACAGGATGTTTTCTACAGGGAGCGAGGATAACAACATATGCAGTGACTAAGAAAACTCCTAGTGGGACAGACAACACAGGGCTGTAGGGAAACTCCAGGGTCACAGCTATTAAAAGAGGGAATGACGCAGTACTGCTGCCCAGAGTTGTGTTGTAAACTACAACCAAACAGCAGATGTACTGCTAATTGTGTCCACCAGAGGGGGTTAAATAACCTGACTGCAGGTTCTACCTTACAAAGGCAGCTGTTCTCATCGGTAACATTTTAGCATTAAAGATGAGACTCAGAAATTAATGGGGGTAAATGGAGATGACTGGTGTGGCTTGCGTCATTGCCAATCACTAGAGCAACATAACAACATTAGGATGATGAGTGCTGAGAAATGTTTTGTGTAAACAGCTTGTGTGTGCCTGATGCTTCCTTAACCTGTTATGCAGTGTCCTACTGTTTGCCTCCAGTTGTTTATGTTGATGTTTTTAGTGATGAATGTGCCACATTGTCTGCCATGTCTCTCCATCATGCTTTCGTAAGAGCTCACTTATGTTTGTGGTCCAATGTTTTGACTTTGTTGCTTTTGTCAACTTACATCCCTTGCTCCCACCCTCTCCTCTCTCTCCCCCTTTCTCTGTCTCATACCAGGTGCACAAGCACATGCAACATCTCGTGCACATGTGCATGCATGCACACACATACACCACTAGCTTGTCATCTAGTTGGCTCTCTGATCTCTTCATCTCTTGTGGTTTTTGCTCCATCTTCCTCAGCCTTTAATTCTCCCTCTTATCCTTTATTTCTTGCTCTCTCCATCACAGATCATGACCTCACCCGACATAACTTAGTATCCAAACCTTTTTCTTCCTGAATGCAAATACTGGAATGTGATAAATCTTTTTCGATTTTTATCAGGTCACTTTGCTGTGGCGACCGAGAGCAAAACACTAAACACCGCACCTACACAACCATGACTATTTACAGAACCCGCAATGAACACACACACAGCCACAAAAATGCATACACACAAATGCATGCACCCATATACACATTTGCACCCATACAGCGAATGCATGCAAACACACACTGGCCAACCAAACACACACACACACACGCACAGTTATGTCGGAAAAAAACCTATATAGACCTATGTGTGTACACACTGATTTTTCTCTCTTTGGAGCATCAGGTTCATTGCGTTATGCAGGGACTTTCCATGGATTCCCATTTTATTTATCTTTCCAAACGTTGTCCTCTCTTCAGTGGAATTCCACACAATAAGGAAAAAAAAATTAAAATAAATCTTCCATGTAAGTGAACCCTGTCTAATACTGTCTCCGTCACCCTTTGATAATGCTTGTTTGTTCACATCTGGAACCCAGGTTACAGACCTCTGCTACACAATAGCCCTTAACATTGTTTTAAAGCAGCAATCCCACACACATGTACAGAACACACTCACACCTTCTGAACTCTATCAACTGACCAAGACTAGAGAGAGTATGTGGCTATTTTTGGTTTCATCCTCCGAACAAAGGAGTTTAACGATTTGCATAATGCAAAAATAGAATCTAGATCAGTCATGTGTTACCAAAGATCCATAGATATGATCCCGCTTTCTTTTCACCTGTTAAAACATAGTGTTGATACACACTTTGGCTGGAGCCAAATCTTGGCTGTGTTCTCAAATCTGATGTTCCTACCCACTTGACTGTCAACAAAATAAGATTTCCAGCCAGCTTTGTCAGATCGTGGACATTTTATTCAGGAGAAAAAAAACTCCTCCAACTCCATCCTCGCTTCCAGAGTCTAGCCGCAGAACATAAACATGTGTCTATGTAAACAGGCAAGTGATATACTTTGCTGTCATTTCACAGATGCTGATTTATTGTTCTAAATTAGTTTTAATGGGAGAACTGATTCCTAGAACTATGTTTTGCATTTTGATTACCTTGGCCACATCATGTATCCTGCTAGACCATCACTGTAAATGTGTGCTTACTCTCCTTAATTCCATAAAACATGATATTAATTATATTGCACCTGGCCTTGCCACCAAACTTCCTGCTACCGCCACGAGTCAGGTGACCGGGCAGACCAGGAGGTTGCTGAGTCAGACCTCCCCTCCCTACCGTGTCCAGTGTGGATTAAAAGTGAGATCACTCAGTCAAATCTCCCCTGAGGCTTTATGCTGCCTTGATCTAAGCATGCAACCAGTCTGTCATCAATGAAAGCTGCTTAAGTCAAACTCGTAAAGTCCTGAGAAAAAACCTAGTGTAGTTTCCACAACATTGTATAGTGCAAAGTAAGTGCAAGTAACATTAACACCAAAATCAAATTAGGGAACGATCAATCAAGCGCATCCTCTTCCACTTATCAATTCAATTAGCACAGGACAGCCAGGGCCTCATTGGCCTTTCATCCAATTAATAGCTGCAATCACCATGACGACACTTTCACTTACCAGCAGTTCTTGGGTGAGCTTCATTAGATTTTTGGTCTGATTGGACAGTTTATCCATGTCAGTGGGCCGCCGGGGTGGCACTGGAGAGGCAGACGTGAACACAGGCAGATGAGCCAATAGCAGCGAGAAGAGGAGGGATGAGGAGGAGTCAAGCAGCACTGTAGGGGAGGAACAAAACGGAAGCAATTAGTGGAGGGCTGCTGTCATCTCGCCATAATGATAATGACCTCAGGCCACGACTGTCAGCTCCAGGGGAAGATATTGCACCATAATATAAACAATAGCTCCAGACTTGGCAGAGGTTTCCTCAAGAGCTTCAGTGTCAGAGTCATGTTTTCACAGGCTTGATGCAAATAATTAAATCATTAAAAAGACAGGCTTTGACATTGAATATCACCATCACTCTTTTACTATAAGCAACTGCAATGAATGCTGCTGATTGTCACACCTGCAACTGGATAGGTACGTGAGTTGGTGGTATAAATTATATAGAGGCAGCCAAGTCAACTCTCCTAACAGTAAGCTCATTCATTCTTTTCCTTTCAAGTTCAAATACAAGGTAGACTAAGTATTAAAAGGAAACCACAGCGGTGTTGAAATGATGAATGCTTGATAATTACAGGTGAACCTCAAGAATCACAGCCAAAATAACACTGCAGGAGCATCTGAGCTGCCTGTCCTAGTGTAACTTTTAAAGTTCAGGGATCACAAAGGTGTCCATGCTCACTGTCAAGTCAATTGTTTAGAATTAAATTGTATCCATGGATACATATTTTAATTCAGCCTGCATATTAACGTCCCAATAGCTGTTAACAGTCACACAAACGTTAAAGACCCACAGTGTAATTAGATCATTTAAAAATAAAATAAAATATAAAAAGTTAAATAAATTATAAATAGCATCTGAATCACTTATGAATAAAAACACACTCACACAAACACTTACATTTCATATTTGGTTCGGATCCAAGGGATAAACCAGCAATCAAACGGTGGATAAATAAATAAATAGAAAGTTAATAAATAAATTGAACTCCGGAAATTGTCACGTGCTCCGGTTTCTTCTTCGCACTCTTCAGTCAGAGAGAGGAAGAAAGTTGTCAGGACGAGAGAGGATGAAGGAGAGCTGAGTGATGACTGAGGCACTCAGAGAGAGTAAGAAAAGGTAAAATAAATCAAACTTCCTGTCTTTGGTAAAGTTTGAGATGAGCCCTTGTAGTCTTTATGGAGAGCAGAGAGACACTTAGACAGTTTGGAGAGAGAGAGGTAAGAGAACTGCAGAGAGGGATGCGAGTGTGGTAAGTCCAAATTTTGCGCGCAGTGAAGTGTTTAGGCTTGTTTAAAACTTCCTTTATAAAGACGTCGGGCCTATGACACATCGGCAGTGACTCACTTCATTCATAAAAACACACACACACACACACACACACACACACACACACACACACACACACACACACACACACACACACACACACACACACGC